GATCAGCAGAAAAGGCAATGGGATGTAATAGTCTGCAGCTCCACAGGAGGCCTGGGTGGGAGCTGCTCACATGGAGGTACCAGGGTATAGGTGGTGGCAACACCATAAAAATAGATACTTGATCTTTGTTCTTAATTTCTGGCACAGATCTCCTAAAACCCTTGGAATTCCCAGAGAAATAGGAATGTTTTTCTTTACCATAATGAGTCCCTTTCATAAGCAGCCCCTTTGAAACACACCTGGACTCTATGCTAATGAGATGATTCAGGGAGGGACCCTTAGATAGCTTCAGGAGGAGAACTGGTCACCAAAAAGACCAAACACATGATTAGAGGAGCAATATCTCTCAGCCCCACATGCAACCCCTGGCAGTAGACAGGGCCTGAAGATTGGGTTATTAAAAATTCTTGAACAGTGTGATTCAGAGAGCTTCCAGGTTGGTGAACATGTGGAGGTACTGAGAGGGTGGCACACCTGGAGAGGGCACGGCAGCTCCATGCCCTTGCCCCTGTACTTTGCCCTATGCATCTCTTCCATCCGGCTGTTGCTGAGTTATGTCCTTTATAATAAAACTATAATCGGAAGTAGAGCATTTTCTTTGAGTTCTGTGAGCCATTCTAGCAAATAATCAAGCCTGAACATGGGGTCATGGGGTCGTGGGAACTCCCAGTCTATAGCCAGAAGTACAGGTGACCTGGGACTTGTAGCTGGCATCTGAAATGGGGTCATTCTTCTGGGGTCTGATGCTAACTCCAGGTGGATAGTGTGAGAATTGTATTGAATTGTTGTATTTAACAGCCCGGCTGAAACTCTTGGGTGATCTGATTGGAGCACTCAGGAGAGGCCCTAGCTAGGACCTTCCAGACCTATAAGAGCAAAAGAGACTGAGAAGGAGTCACCAGGGAGGACTCAGGAAACTGGAGTGGGCCAGAGGCCAAGGGAGGAGAACATCTTTGAGGAGCAGAGGTGATTGAGAAGGATGGGGACTGAGAATTGACAGCTGTTTGTGGCAGTGAGGAGTTACAGCACCCAGCCCCTGGTGAACTCTCAACAAACACCAGCTGCTGCCGCCACTATTGTTACCATCCCCTTTCCTCTGTCACCACAGCGGACAATGGCCTGGTGGCCGGCAGCTCCGACTCATCTAGCTCCTGCTCTGGCTCTGACTCTGAGGAGCCCCCTGAAGGCCAGCCAGCCAAGGTGACAGTAGCAGCAGCGGCAGTTACCCCCACCAGCCCAGCAGGCAGCAGTGGGCTCATCACACAAGAGGGTGTGCATATACCCTTTGACGTCCACCACGTGGAGAGCTTGGCCGAGCAGAGCACCACGCTGTGCCCCAACCCAGCAGGCAGCGGGCCTGAAGCCCTGGAGACGGTGGTGTGTGTGCCGGTGCCCGTGCAAGTGGGCCCGGGCCCTGGCACCCTTTTTGAGAACATGCCCCAGGAGGCACTGGGTGAGGTGGTAGCCAGTTGTCCCATGCCAGGCATGGTGCCTGGCTCTCAGGTGATCATCATCGCAGGCCCAGGCTATGATGCCCTCACGGCTGAGGGCATCCACCTCAACATGGCAGCAGGCAGCGGTGCCCCCAGCGGGGGCCTGGGTGATGAGGTGCCCTGCACCATGATGGAGGGCGTGGCAGCCTACACACAGACGGAGCCTGAGGGCAGCCAGCCCAGCACTACAGACCCCGCTGCCATGGCAGGCATGGAGACCAAAAAAGGTCTGGGGGACCATGCTAGTCTGGGGGGCTAGAGGGAACCTGGGAGGGGCAGGGCGAGGAGCCGCCCCAGAGTGGGCTCCTCGACAGCCTTAGTCCCCACAGACGCCTGCCCTGTGTCCACCCCGTAGAGAAGGAGGACCTGTACATGCTCAAGAAGGAGGAGAAGGAGGAGCCGGTGGCCCCAGAGCTGGCAGAGCTGGCAGCAACAGTGCCTGAGAGTGCAGAGCCTGAGGCAGAGGCAAATGGGGAGGAGCTGGATGGCAGTGACATGTCAGCCATCATCTACGAGATCCCCAAGGAGCCCGAGAAGTGGGTGTCAGGTGGGCGGGGGCAGGGATGAGGACAGTGGCCTGGTGTGGGAGCCCCGATGCCATGGGCCCCTTCCTCTCCAGGAGGCGGAGGAGCAAGCGGTCACGGGTGATGGATGCCGACGGCCTGCTGGAGATGTTCCACTGTCCCTATGAGGGCTGCAGCCAGGTGTATGTGGCTCTCAGTAGTTTCCAGGTGAGCCTACCACCCAAATGGCTGGGCAGGGTCTGCTTCTGTGTCCAGCTGCTTGTGCTCATGGAGGGCCTCACCAGCCCACAGTAGGTTCCACAGGCCTGTGTCCCACATGCCACCTGCCTCCAGTGTACCTGTCCTGCCTTAACTAGCCACAGCCTCTCTCTGCACACCCCAAGTGGCTGCCTGCTCCTGGCCTGGTGGCTCCCCACATACTTCTGCTCTTCCAGCTGCCCAAACTCCCACCGCCTCTCTCCAAGCTACCCTTTTAGCTCAGAATACCCCTTTACCAGGAAGCCTACCCCACTCCCCCAGGGTGGTAGGGCCTGCAAACTTCAGGTCACTGCACCACCAAGATGTACCTGCAGTTTGCCCACTGGGCCTGGATGGGATAGCCCAAGGACAGAGACAGAGTCTTGTTATACACCTACTGTGGGCACAGGAGGTGTCACAAGTAGGCCCTTGAATTTGCCAAATCATGTTTTCATTGAGCACATACCAGTGCCAGGCCTGGTGCTGGACACAGAAGCTACAGATATGCCAGTGAGCTACAGGACAAAGGAATGAGTGACTTGGGGGCTGCCTGCTCCAGGCCCTAGGGGCATTATAGCACCTGCTGTGGGGCTGAGAGCCCTAGAATCCAGTTCCAGCTCTGCCACTGCCCACCTGTGAGATACCAGGCAAACCACTGAACCTCTGGGGCCTCAGTTTCCCCATCCATAAACTGGGCTAACTGCTGGGCCCCTTCACAGAGTTGTGGCAAGGTTCACTGATGCCCCAGCCCAGAGCCTGACTGGAATAGGTGCTCAGTAAAGCTGCTATTTGATCCCAGTTGTGTCCCTGGACCCCAGCTTGGAGCTGGCAGTCCATCCCAAGGGCAAGGGCAGTGAAGTTGCCCCAGCCTGCCTCCCAGCAGCCCTCACCTGTTCCTACAGCACCCACAGCACCACTTCCACCCTCTCATCCCCAGAACCATGTCAACCTCGTGCATCGAAAAGGGAAGACCAAAGTGTGCCCTCACCCTGGCTGCGGCAAGAAGTTCTATTTATCCAACCACCTACGGCGACACATGATCATCCACTCAGGTCAGGCCCTGGGGCAGAGGGTCCTGGGCCTTGGAGCCAGGGCTGATTCAGGTGGGGTCAAACCTGGGTACAGGACTGCCTTTCTCAGAGTTTCCTGCCTGTCTTTCACATGGACTGGCATGAGATGGTGGAAGTAAAGCACTTAACCTAGTGCCCATTGGGCACCTCCCTGATGCTCAGTGAGCTGGGACCTGCACAAGTCACAGTGACACTGACGGTTATAAATCATGTGCAGCTGGGCAGGGGCTGACTGTCTCTTTTCCTACTTGGGGCCCATGGGCCTCCCCACTTCTATAAGCAGGTCTCATGCTGGAGCAGTTCCAGGGCTGAATCACCCTGGAGGGGGATTGAGCTTGGGACAGGGCCTCTGTTTCTTCTGCTCCAAGCACCTCCTTGACCCAGAGTGTGGGCTGCTGATGCAGTGTGCCCAATAGGAGGGCATGGATTTATATTTTTGGGGGACCAGAACTTTGGATTTTTATGTGAAATCACTCCAAAGTCCAAATATTGGGGTCAAATTCAAACCCATCTGCACCCTGTGCTCCTCAGGGACCCAAGTTCACATTCCATCTCTGCCCGGGGCGTTTCTGGGCAATGGCCATGAGCCTTTCTTTTTATTAGACTCTCCGGTTATTAGACCTGACATTCAAGCTTCTGCGCCCTACCTGGTCACTGCTGTACAGTGGTCACACTTCGCAGCCCCCTCCCCAAGGGCGGCGTCCTCAGCCTTGTGTTTCCCCCAGGTGTCCGTGAATTCACCTGTGAGACCTGTGGCAAATCCTTCAAAAGGAAGAACCACCTGGAAGTACATCGTCGCACGCACACTGGCGAGACACCCCTGCAGTGAGTGACAGGTGTCCCACAAGGGTAGTAAGAGGGAGGAGATCTGGGCCTGGATCAGCACAGAGCAGGTCCCACTGTCGGGGGAGCTCCACCCCTGGGTTTGAGTTCCACCTGCGCTCCTGTCCCAGATGGCCCCCCTACCTTTCTGGGGCCTGCCCAGCCCGCTCTGACTCCACCCTGACTCCTGGCAGGTGCGAGATCTGCGGCTACCAGTGCCGACAGCGTGCTTCGCTCAACTGGCACATGAAGAAGCACACGGCAGAGGTGCAGTACAATTTCACGTGTGAGCGCTGCGGGAAGCGTTTCGAGAAGTTGGACAGCGTCAAGTTCCACACTCTCAAAAGCCACCCAGACCACAAACCTGCCTGACCCACCCAACCACTGACCATCCCTATTTATTCATTCACTCTGATGCCACTCCTGGGCCTGCCAGGCCAGGGCAGCCACAGGGGCCACCTGGACCGCAGGCCGGATGGTGGCACCCCTCCCCTGCCCTGCCCCAGGGCTGGCCCCCCACCCTCCCTGGAGCTGGCAGTTGAGGCTGCACTGCTGGAACTGTGTCTAGAGAACAGAGCAAGATTAAAGAGCGAGAAAGTAGATGCCCTTCCCCTAGGCCTGGATGATTTTGGGGAAAAGGGGGCCTCTCTTCAACTTAGTCCCTTCCTAAGCAAGGCCTCGGTTGGGGGTGGGAGGTTGGGGAAGTCATACCCAAAGGACAGGGACCTTTCCTTCCACCTTAGTTGCCTGGGCAATCCTGAACAGCCCTCTGCACAGAATCAGGGCTGGGGTGGTTGGGGGCCCAGGGAGGCCACTTAACATCTCCCAGGGCTCAATCCTGACTCAGTCATAATCCTTCATGGGTCACTCATTCCCCACCCTGGAGAGCTTAGGGACCAGTTGGGGAGATGTTCAGTAAACCCTTAAGACATCTATGGCTGTGACAAACACCATGCAGAAAAGAGTAGTATGTTAGTTTCTGGGGTTGCTGTTTAGGTCAGTGGCATTTGAGCATAGACCAGAATGACAAAGAGGTTCCATCCCAGAAGAAAGCTGAGGGAGGCAAATCCGAGACTGAAGGAACAGCCAGTGCCAAAACCCCTAGGTAGAATGGGCTCGGCGTGTTCCTGGAACAGGAAGCTGCCGGGGGAGGGAGTTGGCATCAGCTGGGCGGCTGCCCTGGCCCCATTACCCGGAGGAGGATGCTGAGGCCACCTCCTCCTGTGGTCGGCCAGAGAGAGGGGCGGGGAGTGAGACCCGGCTACGCGGCCGCCAGATGGCGCACAAACCGCATGGGCCATTGTGGCCGCAGCCACGTGACCCTGGGGGCCGCAGCTGCGAGCCGGGGCACGTGCCCTAGGGAGCCCCGTGGCGCCCTGAGCAGATTGGCCCCACCAGCTCATGGAGCTGAGCCGCAGCTAAAGCCTAATTTTACACTTCTAACCGGGGGCTACCCCAACCAGGGATAGAAGTGTCGGCGGCGAGGATGAACGAGTCCGGCCGCTGGGGCCGCTCCCCCGCGAGCCGCCCCCTCTCCGCTCCAGGCTCAGTCCCCTTAGTTATCTCGGCACAGCGGGAGCCAGCAGTTTCCATGGGAACCGCAGTCGGGTCTGCGGGCCCAGGAGTAGCCCCCTCCGGGCACAGGCACAGCTTCTGATCCCACTGGAGCCGAGAGGATCACGAGGTGGGGAACAAGCCATTCCTCGGGGTCCCCAGGGTCAGCTAAGTTGCCTTGGCAAATCCTAGAGGGGCCACCCAGGGTCCCGCATGGCCACTGCCCAGACTGTGCGGGCCACTGTGATTGGCCTGCCCACTCCATCATCGTGGCCGTGCTTTCTGCTACTCGGATTCTCATTGGCTCAATCTCGAGGGCGTCCTTCCGCAATTCGTTCTCGCGAGGGCCGTCCCTGATTGGTCAAAATAGGCTCTCCTTGCAGGGTTTGAAGGCACTCTCGGACTGTCAGGAGCCTACAGCGCGTCCAGGGGCGAGGGTAGGGTGGGGGCTGCGACTCTCGGGTTTGGAGGGTCGTGGCTACCCCGCCCTCAGCTCCTTCGACCGGGCTGTCAGGCCGCTGTCTGTGGTGCTGAAGCCTCGAAGAAAATCTTGCGCCTGAAGGCAGCCCCGACGTAAATGTGCAGGAAAGGTGGATGTGCCACCCCCTATCGGCCAGGTCCCTCCAGCAGAGAGGGAGCGTGACCGCGGGCGGACAAATCATGAGCCTGGAAAGCCAGGAAATTCACATGGCAGATCTGCCCACCCCAAGTTTATGGTGTCTTAGAAGGTCCAGTGGTTTCCCCCGGCTGCAGGGTGCCGGCAGGGTTTGCCTGGAATCTTAAGCTCCAAACCTCTTTACCCACCTCACAGCAGTGCCGAGTGCCCCTGCACTGTGGGGTGCCAGTCCCCAGCTTTTGAACCGTAAGGACACCTAGCCAACAGGGTCCCAGTTCCTTCTGCAGGTAGACTAGATCCCAAGCCATCCCCACCTTCCTCCCTTGGCCTTGGGAGACTACACCTGGTCCCCCCAAATCTGGGGACCCAGGCCTTTGCCCACTGAAGTCTTGGATCCTTGTCCTTTTCCAGTCTTGGTGAACAGCATCTCTGGAAGGTCGCATAAGAGGCCATGGATATCTCCTCTCCCTCTTTGCTCCTCCAGCTTTGGGTGCTGGACAGAGGAGAGCCTGCCCTGTCTTCCAGCTAGAAAGCCCTTTCAAAAAGGGTGCCAGGGCAGGAAGCAGGGTCCGCGGGGTCAAAAGAGCCGGAATCTGGCGACGCGAGTACACAGAAAGCGAGTCCAGGCCAGCGCGCGCTCGCTTCCACCTGCCGCGCCGTCGGGCGCCGCGAGGAGGTGGGGCTTGGTTGCTGCAGCCAATGAGCGACGCTGGCGCTGGCAGCTGCTGATATAAAGGGCTGGGGGCGGCGGCGGCGCGGCCCAGATCGCGGAGCGCGC